GAAAAGCCGTCGGCCGAAATCCTTTTAGGCTTTTTACCTACTCGAGGTCCCCTATCGAATGATGTATGAACGAACGAAATCGGAGCGGGGCACCTGGGGGTGTTCCCTCGTCAGCAGTTTCAAAATCATCTCAAAAAGTAGATCACAGTGTTATTTTTCTTTTTTTACAATATAATGATCATTTTCATCAGCTCTTTACATTTTGTAGCGGCGGTTTTTTGTTCATCTGCGGCAGGGGCGACGGAGCGTCATGAAACTAGGTAAGGCTCTATGGTGAATTTATTGGTGAACTTAATCAGATCAGATATATCGACAAGATTTAATAGAGTATTTGGTCTAAAACTAAGCGAGGCTGAGCCTCAACTGGTAGAAACCAGGTGAGGCTTGAGCCTCATGGGTCTCAGTGGCTCCGCCGCCTCTGATCTGCGGTAAGCCTACATTAAGTTTATAGTAAAATTTTAATCCTTTTGCATTGTCTAAATGTTTCCCCCTCACTCTGTAGTTTCTTAGTGCACCACACTAAGACAATGCACCAAGCGTTAATTATCATTCTACTTGAGTTACCTTGTTATCTCCAAATCCACAGATATTTTGGCGATCATGGCAAAAACGGCTAACTGGAAATATGCAACGCACCATTGGACTAGTTCAAAGCTTTTTCTTACCACAACCTCGTTCAATTAATTTTTTACAAACATAATCATTCTTGTATAAAACAGCATAATGTGATGCACAATATCCATCATAATCGACTTTATTGAAAATCGAGTGTTCTGGCGAACTATCAATAAATTTATTCCATTTTCTCGTTGCATCAGCTTGAAACTGTAAAAAAAGGAATTTGCAATATCTGATGATGTTTACAAGCTCGGTTTAGAAAAGTCAAGAAAGTTCTGAAATCATAAATGATAAGACTTATTGGTCTAACATACCGGATGTCAAATTTAAGATGCTGTTAATGAAAAAATCGAAAAACGGGGTTTAGATCTCGCTGATTTTTTTGACACTTGGGAACCTCGCAACCCCTACACGATAAGGTTCCAGATCAACAAGTTTTTTAGTTTTGTGTCTCTTTTATCTACAGCTTTTGTCACAATAAGTCTCAACTGAGATTTTTCGATGAATTGTCTTGGTAAATTTCGTCATAGATGATGTTTTAAACAGATAAATTGTGAAGCCAGTATTAAATTTTTACACTGCTAGGAGTGAGACATAATTAGACAGAGAAATATGTGAAAAGAAAATGTCAGTATTTGTTATATTATGTACACTATTGTATTTATTTTGCTACGCGAGGCCAAGGTTTTATAACACCTGTAGGGGAAGAACAATTTTCCTTCTGAAAAAATGACTCAAGTTTCTGTTATCGGTTTTTTGTTGTTCTTTGGGGAAAAACCTGAATGTAAAAATACAATCATTCGATTGTCTGCGCTTGAATAAAAATAAAAAATAGGGTCATATAAATAGTTGATAGTTTTCTTTGTATCTTTCTTTTACTTTCATCATCAACATGGGATCTATTATTTCGCGTACAGGAAAAGACAATGATAAGTAAGTTGTGATACAATTTCGTCATATTTTCTGTTTTTGTGCAACAATAAACTTATCTTTAGCTTTTAAACTAATAGTGGTCGGTTGGCACTTCATTTTCGCTTTCTTTTCTTTTTGAAACCAGACAAGATTTCAAATGTGGTTCTACCAGATTGGGCTAAACTACATCTATATTCATCTTTTTTCTTAACGAATACACAAAGCAGATTAACTCTTTGATTTTTGACACAGCCTGAAGAGCTTTATACGCGCATTTTTGTAAGTGTTTTCTAGGCACTTTTGAAGTGAAAAGCATATGAATAAGTTAAATTACATTCGTAACTGTCGAACACGGAGATAAGACACTAAGTAATCAGCAATTCTAAATATTGAAATAAGTAAGAGATAGAGATTATCGAATTTCACATTACTAGGCTGAACTGCTTATTTGATTCAATCCTTGAGATCGAAAAGAGTCTTTTTATTAGAAAGCGCAGAAAATCTACAAAAACTTCTCCCATGTATAGTTTTAATTAAAATATGTTGACTGTGAAGATAGCTCTAGAGGCGAAAACACTCACGACTATGAAAGAATTAAAGGTTGATTGTGGGTTTCTTCGGTCTAAGCTCGCTTTGTCGCTTATGGCTTTCAGAATGTCGCCAGTTCGGTCTTGTGTAAAGTTCAGAGGATAACGGAACAGTCAGAGCACCTTCAGCAGTGGGGAGTCATTACTTATATCCCAATCGGCCTATACGATTATCCGGATTGGGCTACAAATCTCGATCGGGATATAATCAATATTCAAATCGGGATATATCCCATTTGAGATCTCTTTGTGTCCTACTCGGACTATATTACTAAATATGTTCAAAAAAGTATTGAAAGTAATCATGATCGTTCGCTGATCGTGTTAAGTAAGGCTTAAAAGTCCCTTGCAGTAAACCAGAGTAACTGGATAGTCAAAGAATAATGTAATGTGGTCGATTTTAACCTTTGTATTGTTCTTCTCTTTCTTACTAAATTAAGTTTATATCAACTAAAGTAATAACATGTGAACTGATCATTCTAGAATATTAGTATTCTCAGCTACGATCTCAAGGATATCCAATATGTAGAAGAATGCAAGTACTATAAGCTAAGCGTACTTTAGAATAGATTTGGAAATTTTTCTGGATGCTTATTGACCGAGTTATAAATTTTTCAATTTTTGATGAAAATAGTAAAAAATTAAAAAAGTCTTCCAGTGCCACCTGGAAATCCGATTCGAAAACAACCCTATATATCAGAAGATGCAGCAAAGCCTTCTCTACAAAATGCTGAAAACTGCAGGTCTGTATTTCTCTTCATTCTGGAGTTATTCAAAGAATAGCCAGGGACACTATATTTTGAAATGGATAGTAAGTTATTACCATCCGATACTTTGGATACCCCCATGAAATCATATGCAGTTTTGAGTTCTCTATCCGATGGCGGTTTTGGATTTCAGTAATCAATTTTTTTTTTCAAAACGAAAGTTTTTAGAAAAACATCAAAAACAGCCCATTCCGGAGATGTTTTATATCCCGATCAAAATACGCGATTTTTGATCGAATTCTTATGCAGTAGCCCCAACCGATCTATATAGCCGACTCCCATGGAATCTGAGGCAGTTTTGAATCCTCTTTCGAATTGCATTGTCCGTTTTTTATTTGGTTGTTAAGCGGAGGTCAGAAAAATGATTGATTGATTATATAGATCGATCAGGCTATACAAATCATACCGATCAGGATTTATAGCCTAATCGGGGTAATCACATAGGCCGATAGGGATTTTATCCTGATTGGGATATAAGTCATGGCTCCGCACTGTTAGTAATGAACTACTCCTTGGCAATCATTCTTAGGCAGCGATCATAAAATAAGCCTCTTATGTAGCGATTATAGCCGTGATCGCGTTTAAGCGTACTCGGCGAGAGTTTGTATGAATTGCGGTTTTGCATCGTGGTTCCCAGTGCTAGAGTGATAAGAAAGTTGACTTGCTAAGTCAGAGTGTTATGGTTTTATCAGAGAGCACAACTAATTGGTTTTTAATTATTTAGACTAATCACCATTGCAGTCCTTGGCTTGGATCAGGCTGGTAGGTTATAATCAAATATTTCATGTTGTCAATATCATTTTTTCGTAGTTTAGGCAAAACAACAACAGTGAAAGCTCTAGAAGGAGGTCTGCATTGCTTTCTTCTGCAGTATTTCCACTGTCTTTATATTGTGTTATTCTAGTTCCTACCGACTGTGTCACACCAACTCTTGGCTATTGTTTATCACACATTACTCATAAAAATGGGAAAATAAATCTAGTTGATTTAGGTGGTGTTTCAACGTTTAGAGACTCCTGGAAGCATTATTACGATGATTCGCACGGATTCATCTATGTGATTGATTCAAGTGAAATGGAACGAATTGAGGAAAATCAGTCAGTGTTTGAAAAATTATTGCAAGAAGATAAAGTCAAAGGAAAGCCAATACTCATGTGAGGCAGTCTCTTTCCTGTTTCGCACAATACTATTAACTTGTGCGATTATTCTTTCCATCTAGATTGGCAAATAAACAGGATAAACCGAGTGCTCTCGACGAAAATGGTATCTTGAAAGCATTGAACATTGAAAAATTACTGGATCAACATAAAACACTATGCAGAGTGGTATGATTAAAATGACTAAGCATAACGAATAGTGATGGAGTGAGAAGATTGTTTCTACACTTTTTTTTGTGAGAAAAAACTTCTTTTCACTAAGTTGAAGAAATAAGAGTATAGATATCGTCATTACCAGTCGTTTTCATTTAGATATTATGTACAGCCCAATCACTTGGTCGAGCCAACAAAATTAATGAATCTATTACACATGGTTTTGATTGGTTGGTTAAAACAATCAATGCTCACTATGAAGACTTACGTAGGAGGGTAGACAATGATGTACAAATTAAAAAGCAGATTGAAAGTATAGAAAAAAGTGAACGAGCAGAACGTGTAAAGAAAATTAGGGAAGAGTAAGCAAATACAACCCTCCTAAGCCGCATGTTTGTAAAATATTGTTTTCTTTGCCTAGACGTGCTAACCAAAGCGGTGGACAGCGAGAAAACGATGATGATATATATGATGGCACAGAAAATCCTTATATCCCCATTCAACAAGCCATTAGAAATGCTGAAATAAGAAATTCAGATTGAAATGACTTACGTAGTTTACATCACAATTATCATTTATTTTTTGAAAATTTTCACTCCTTTCGAAAGAATTCACAAACGCCATTCGTACGAGAAGGGAAAGAAACTCATATCATTCCAGCTATTACTAATTCCAATAATAGCTTCTTTCTACTCCTAATGGAGCCAGCGACGTAACCAGGATTTTTAGACCGATGGGCAAACTTCTATTATGTCGGAAAAAACAATGGGAAAAATGGGAAAGGTTTTTGTTGATAGGTCAAAACATTTTTGGTCCAAAAAGAACACCAAAAAATGAAATGAAGTTCTTTTAATCAAATATGCATCAAACTCAAATTTTAAGCCTAAGTCAAGTGTGTTTTAGTCTATTTTTAATGCCTCTGTTTAAAACATTTATATCTCAAATTTAAACACCAAAATCAAGACGACGATGATGCATTTGTGTATATAATTTCAATATTTCATCTGGATTGATATCGAGATCTTTATGAATTCTGTCTCTTCTTACTCTTACATATATCTTTCTAAACGTTATAGGGAAAAAACTGCATGGGTATATCTGCCTAGTAAAATTACAATGGGCAAATCTCTAAATGAAATGGGCAATTGTCCTCCTCCTCCTGGATATGCCGCTGAATGGAGCAAAAGTACGTAGATGAAAAGGACGTTGATTCTAACGTTTATTCCTCAATCTTCTCAATTGACAGCTATGTATTGGAAATAGAAATAAAACAGACATCCTATGTAAAGTCTCTCTAGCTTCTTTATTCTATTTTGCAAATTTATTTATAATTGTTCTGGTGTTCTTCATTTCACTCTATAAATAAAAGTTCTATAATCTAACATTAATTATAATTATAATCTAATCTATAATTGATTTTTGTACTTATTTCTCACTGAGACAAATATTAGGGATCCACCACATATTCGACTGAAGGAGTTTAGTCTATAAAAAAAATTTATTGTATATTCGAATTTTGCCTTGGATATAAATGTAGAAATATCGTCGTCTGCCGTCATACACAAGAAAAATGTGAGAAGGAAAAGGTTTTTCGCATGATTTATTGAAAACATCAGAAATGCCGGCATTACTGCTGCTATTGTAACCATTCAATCGTAGCAGTAATAGTGATACTATCTTTTTTACAAAAGCCTCTTTATTTGCCATTAGAATAAATTGTGACTGCCAGGCAAATATTTGACTTTAGGAATTTTTCTTTCTTTTGTAGAGAGTTTTAGTAAGATTTCTATGATTTGCTAGTTTCGGAACACGACAATAATATTAATCTTGATTAGATTTGATTTAATTTACAATAAACGTTTGTTCTTACCCTTTTGTCGATTAATTAACTTAATTTCACTTAATACACTATGTAAAAAAGAAAAGCCGAACATATTGATTCATATTATTTAAAATAATAATGGTGATACAATAAATAGAGTCAGATGGGGTAATTCCGGCCACTTGCACAAAGTTTCTTAGTATTTTGCGTATTTCTAAGGCGTTTTTAATCGGATAAGCGTGCTATTGAATATGAAGATAGAACTAGCAGTTCTCTATCCGCTGATGTAAAAATGTCCTAAAAATCTCTCTCCGTTTTCGACCAGTGTTCAAAAGGAGACAGGGACCTCCAAACCGGCCGGAATTACCCCACATGGGGTAATTCCGGCCGATCCATTCAAATACATGGAGTTTTCTGAAACAAACCTCTGCTAATTAACGATAAATCCTAATCAGGTAGAAATTACACCAGTTTGAAGCTCTTCTTCTCTTCTACCTGTCATACAAATTTGAAATTATTAGCACCTATTCTAATGAAGTTAATTAAAATGTAGTAAGACGTGGTTAGATTTCTGATTTTTTCATTTTTCTGAGCATCTAAAATTCGTATGTATATTACATTAAGACATATGTATTTAAAGATCAAATAAAATTTTAATTACCATTTAAACTGCAGACTTTTCTATTTGATTTAGTTCTAGTAATAATTTTGTTATATCTTCTTGATGATATTCTGTTTTCTTTTTTAAAACTATTGATAAACGATTTGCTTGCCGTAAATGTATCCCAATTTAATTCTTTTGCGTTTTGAATTGCATAAAGTTCTAGGTCATCATCGTGGATAGCTTCTTTTTCAATTGTTCTTTTCAGATAAAATTCATTAAACATAAATTCTTTAATTTTTTTCAATTTTTTTTAATCTTGTGCTGTTGTTTTCGATGTATTTTCTGAATCTTGCAATATACTTCATGGATTTGATTTTTTCAAATCGATGGGAAATAGTTGCAAATCTAGCATTTGGATGTTGATCAACCCATTCAATTATCTTTTCCATTTCGTCTGTGGTAAAATGATTTCTTATATCAGAATGGTCATTTTCATCATAACCTTCAGTTTCGTTATCATTTTCTTCTTCATCAGTTATTTCTTCAGGTTCGCCATCGCTTTCTTCATCATCAGTTAGTTCATCATATTCGTCATCGAAGTTGAAGGTATCATAAGTATACAGCTCACTAAAGTAGCTGTCTTTAAATGACTTCAAAACTTCAAATAATTGCCCGGAAACAAAAATTTCATCGATAGTTGTCACAGAATTTTCAGATCTATATTCAGTTTGAGCCAAATAGAGAAGATATTTAGCGACGTTCAATAAATTCATGTTTGCTTTGATGAAATAAAGCTTTTTAAACGGTAAATAGGTAGAAAACAGTACAGAATAATTATTATATAGTATATTTCTTTGTGATATCTTAGCATCAATTGTAATGAAACGATCAACAGGAACTGTTCACATATTAAACTTTTCTTTTTTCTTTTTTAAACCCCTCTCTACATCGTCACTAGCCACTTATTGGATTAATCAATGTTTATTTCCAAATCTACGATCCAGAACGTTGTTACTTGTCGATAGTTTACCACGTCAAGTTCATCCAGAAGTTTATGAAGGATTAAAACATTTTGAATGTAGAGTAATTCCACCCAAAACTACCTCAATGATCCAACCTCTTGATGTGTATTACAACCGTCAACATAAGAAAATTGTACGTCGTATATATGATCACGTACGATTGGATGAAATAGATATTAATTTATCCGAACGTAATAATCTGATCAAGTTGCAATCATTAGTACATTCACAAATGTGTTCAAAAACTTTTCGACCGATGATAAAACATGCTTGGTTCAAAAGCGGATTTTTGAAACATGATCCAGGTCCATTTCAGAATGCGAAAAACATCTGTTTTACATTTCAAACAGATAAATGCCATTAAAAAAGTTGTCTTAATGGACCAATAATTCGGTGTTGTTGGTGTCAACAAGAACTGTGTTTCACTCATATTTGTTGAACTAACATTACCACCAGAATGATTAATTACTTAGGGCAATCCAAAAGTAGTGAGGGAGGTACTTTATTTTCTTAAGAAGCGCTTCAAAAACATTTCTCTTTTAATGAACAGATAGAGCGTCTTTCGCTCTATTTTTCTATGCTATTTGATCAAT